AAAAACTAAACAAACGGAGCTTTCTTTTTTGGTTTTTGTTTTTGGAAAAAGCCTCGTTACGCGGTAAGGAAATCAGAAAGGGGGATCTCTCGAAGTCAACATATATGACAGGAGTGGTCAGCTTGGCGTTCTGTTTACAAACCAGTTTCTTTAAACGGGCGGCCATTTCGGGAAAGCGTTAAGCCGCGGTGAGACTGGTAATACGTCCTACAAAAGACAGTTTGCAGACGCCGTCTGCGGCGTGTTTCTTGAACGGTCCGGCCACATTCGGGAGTTTTATGGAACCGTTGTTGCACATCTTATAAGGTACGATGGGCCCTCCGTTTACGCACTGCGCACCCGCTACCCGAGAAGACTTTCATATGCGTGCAAAAAAGGTTCCCTAAAAATCCCTAAATCTGTCATTGTGCCTAGTGGGAACTAGAGCACTATATAGCTCCTACGGAGCAGAGTAGCGCAATCCTTTGAACCCCGTGTTTTGCCGACAACATGGCCGACAGAGCGGCTCGGCGCGAGTCACGTGGTACTCAGGGTTCCAGGAGGAGGCCTGCCCTATGGGAGAATAGGTGGAGATCGACATAACACGGCTGATTAAAAAACTAACGGCGAGTTCACATTTTTCAAAACTAACCTGTCGTGAAGTTAGTAAAGCGCTAAACACTTCATCAAAGTTTTAATAATATCGGATGCGTGTGCAAATTTTGAGAAGGCAATTTCCAAGGCAATGGCGTTTGAAGCAGACGATTTTCGCTCGCAGCGGAGATGGGCTTTTCGGGTTGGCCGGAGCGGGTCACGTGAATGGTGTGACGTCGCCGTGTCGTCTGCTGCATGATGCCGCTCAGGCAATTTTTTAAAAAAAGTTACGTCCTTGTATGGCACAAAACTTATCGCATATTATTCTAAAATGTTTCATTATTAAGTCAAAAATGATTTCCATTCCGCACATCCCCACAAAACTGAAGAAACAACGATTTTCTCACGTTCATCATGCATTTCTGACCGCAGTTGGAACCTCCGGGCGTTCGCCGCTAGTCGCCGAGAGACGGCGTTCTAGATTGCGCTACTCTAGAGTTCCTGTATAGCTCCCCCGAAGGGGGAGCATATACAGGAACTCTACGCTACTCTGCTCCGAAGGAGCTATATAGTGCTCTAGTGGGAACATCGTGCATTTTGTACAGTGTGCGAGCGGTGTGACTTTAAGGCCCGTTCACACGATGCATTTTTCTCGCGCATCTAGTGTCGCGAAACGTAGTTTCGCGAAACGGTTGCGCCGTCTGAACGAGTCCGAAAAGGACGCGCGCATCTAAAAAAAGTTGCGCGCACACGTCGCTTCTGGAGCGAACTTTTGCTGAAACTTTGCCGAGTCCTGTCAATCACTCTGAGGACGCCGCCAATGGCCGCTCAGAAACGCTCTCACGTGGCCTTTGAGGGGGCCCTGAGCGAGCTGTTTGAGAAGACCACTTCACTGCCGGTGTTGTAGCCGAGCCAAATCCGAAAAAAACCGAAACCACGAACGATGGATACTGCCGGCGCTTCCGCAAGCATGTCAAGCACCACTGAAGGAAAAGTGAGTAGCATATCGGAAAAAAATCTAGCGATGGACGAAGACGTAATTGGTGATGATGATATTTCGCGTCTATTTTCAGTCAAAATTAAGAAATAAAACCTTGAGACAAGGAAACAAAAAGGGACGTACACAGTACCGTCTCAAAACCAGCACAGCGTACAGCTCTCATTTACTTCCACAACAGTCTTCTTCTTTGTCAACCTACATCCAAATTATACATATTCAACAGTAAATGAAGTAAATGGCAGTAAATGACAATTCAACAACTAGTAAATGACAATTTAAGAGTAACTTAAGCAAATGGAAGTAAATGACAGCTGTATGCTGAGCTGGTTGTAAGACGGTGGTGCGTATGTCCCTTTTTGTTTCCTTGTCTTAAGGTTTTATTTCTTAATTACGATTGTTCACCAGCTCGCCTGCGTTTTGACTCTTAGAATGTGGCGGGAGATGGAGAACACGACGCTGAATGGCTAATGGTGATGGTGATGATGTTGGCTTTCAACTGAAGCGCCACTTTATGGTCAACACCCAAACTATTTTCGCGAGTCTAAACGTCATCGTTGTTGCACGTGAAGCGGTACGTGTGAACGAGCATATTTCGCGAAACTTGAATGTCGCGAAACTGTTGCGCGCCTAAAAGATGCATCGTGTGAACAGACCTTTAGACAGACCGGGCCGTGCAAATCACTCGCGCTCACACGCAGCGGTATAAAGACCCCGGCGTTCGCACAGAACACATCGAAGGTTGGGAATAAGAAGCCCCTGGAAGCGGCTTGCCATCGCTCGAGTTATAAAATATATGCATCTCTTTTCCGCAGATTTGACATCGAGTCCGTAGCAGTGTTGGGAAGTACTTTAAGTACATTGTACTTAAAGTACTATTTCAAGTAGATTTAAGAAACTTGTACTTCATTTGAAGTACATTTTCTGAGTATGTACTTGTACTTAAAGTATTTTTTTCTGGTACTTTCCGAGGAAAGTACAATTCTGGACTTCAAAATATATTCCCCAAATTTGGTTTTGTCAAATTTGTATCACGAAATGATGCTTTGTCAATTCCGAAGAAATACTGGGAGGGATATTCCACTCTTACCAGAAACGTGAGCAGACGACGCATCGCTCCGTTTGTTCTGGGGACGGCTTTCCCGTAGCTTTTTGAATTATCGCTACTTCTCGGTCGGTCAGCTTAAAAGAGGGGGTTTAAAATATCAGGAGAGTAAAATCAATCATAATGTAGCACCTCAGACTGTACTGCGGAAAAATTAAATTTTCAAGTCGAAGTAAAGGACGACAGAGGAGAACGTCAAAAAGTTTTGAGACATTATCTTTTGTCTTTTCCTTCTATTTGAAAGTTCCTCAATTTTTCAGCACCCCAATCTCAGATGTCACATTATAATTAATTATCACCAGCTCGCTTGCACATTCAGTTTTTTTTTTTTTTTTTTCATTAATCCTTTATGAGAGGGTTGCTTGCGGAAGGTACGGGGCTGATGTCATGCTCTCTCCTAGTACATTTAACCCCCTTGGGTGCAACAATCCAGCGGAAGAGGCGCCAAATTCAGAAGAGGGACTTCTGAATTCGGCTCCATTCCTGAAAATAACTGCTCTGTGGCCACTTGACTTTATCAAATATTCGCCGCTGTTTTTGAAAATAGGTCATAGACCCCTGATTACCCCTGGGCAATGCATATCTTTTAAAAAATCACTGTATAGGTTAATGAAAGGGCATTATGAAAGATTGTGTTAAAATACTTGTACATTACTTTCAAAGTATATTGTATTTACAGTACTTTACTTGAAGTACGTCGCACCCAGTGTAATTAATACTTTGCTTGAAGTACATCACATCTCATTTACTTTGTACTTTACTTGAAGTACCTTTTAGATGTACTTTACCCAACACTGATCTATAGACTTCACTGTGCTTTTGCGAACGTATTTACTAAATGTGCCGTGATTTTCTGTCTCCCTCGCATCTCGACCAGTCGGCGTGGCGTATATGCTTGATCGCATTCTTGGTGTTGCCCCGTTGTTGTTCCGCCCCTCTCTAGTTCTTATTCTTATTTCTAGAAGTCGCACTCAAATTCCGATCCACAATGACTAATAAAGGTGGGCTTCATTTAGTCTATTACGTTTATATCGAAAAAAGAAAGGAGTAATTTTGTTTTGCATCTTTATACGCAATTCAATGCGGTCTTTCTCCCTCCCTCTCTCTCATACTCTGTTTAAATAATGCAATTTACTAACCACTTGTAAGAAAATATGATACTTCAAAATGTATTGAGTTACGGGATTCTTACGAGAGGAAAAAAAATGTATATATGCATGAGCGCTTGTGCAAAGAAATCACACGCTCGCGCCCGTACAGAAATGATCGGCAGCTGGACGAGTTCAGCGCTCGAACCGTAGATCCTTATACGAATCTCTAAAAAGTTGAGCGTTTAAAGTCGTCTACAGTCGGAGCTGAGGAACCAGGGTGAAAGATATATGTCGGCTGCACCCCATTCGCGTCTTTGGCTGCATTTACATGGATGCGACCGTAGCGCATCGAGTCGAGATTTCAAGATTCTGATTGGTAGCAGTTGGGTAGAAGAGGAAGAAGTAGGAAGACAGGCTGCGTGTGATTGGTCCCTGCTCAATTCAATGCGCTACAATCGCATTCATGTAAACGTAGCCTTTGTCCCATTAACATGTCTCTTGCCGTCATCTTATATGCTAAATAGAACAAAACTGTCCTAGTGCATTGCACTTACGGAAAAAAAAGAAACCGTTTGTTGCGATGTCATGCAAAACGAAAATCGATGCACGAAAAACGAGACCTCTAACCCCCCCCCCCCCCCCCCCCGCCCGCTCCTCCTTTTTGCCAAAACCGGAAGAATGGCCAAAAAACCTCCTCCCTGAGAACGAAGAGAGATCGGACCTCTCGATCTGACTCGTTGTTTATTCCGCTTCCCCCACTCGCACCACGAGAGTGAAAGCCGTCAGGTGAAGAGAAAAGGTTGAACGGGTCGACCTTGGACTACCGGAGGAACTGCCCTCTCCCGCCGACCCAGCTCCTCGACGCGGAGACCGCTCCCTCAGAAGCCGATGCAGCATGTCTCCGATGCGGACCACGGGACTCGTCCTTACCTTGTTGCTGGTCGCCGCAGCCGGCCGAGCAGATCACAGTCTCGCCGAGCAGACTGCGGCTTTGGCCCCGGCTTCGGCTCCGGCTCCGGCCGCGTCTTCGACCACGGCTGCTGAAGATGAGGCGGACGAGGGTGCCACGGATGAACCGGCCAGCTTCGACCTGGAGTCGAACCTGCGTGCTGTGATCGAACGAGTGTTCAAAGAGGCCCTTCCTGTGGTGTACCGTTTCTCGTCGGGGTCCGGCGCTTCTGGTCAATGCACGGCCGCCCTCCTCAAGTGGGTACTCGCCGTTCGAAGACTCGACCCGTGGGCGCTCAGGAGTGAGTCCTTTCTTGCTTGCGCGTGCTTTGGCTACTTCGACTTTTATTCAAATAGTCGGGAGTAAGAAAAAAAAAAAAAAAAGCTCAAACGAAAGTGTTCTAAAAATCGAGTTTGTCCCTATTTCGGATGTATACAAAACGTTGGGTAATATAAATAGCCCGTAAACCTTAGAAGATGAACTTGTGGTACGAGCTTTGTGGAGAAACCACGCCCCAGAGCACCCGACGTACGTGCGTTCGCTCTTTAGCTTTTTGTTCTATTTCTGCTCAGATAAAATAATGTATCTTACAACTTAAAACTCAAATAGCAAAACGGAATACAAACTATGAAAAAGGGAAACTTGCATCTAAGACATCACTCGCATTTTCTCAAGGGGGCACCAGAAAGACATCAGAGCTTTTTGATAAAATGGCAAATGTGTTCCAGAACTCTGCACAATTTCTTTCCTCAAAACGTTCATAAACTCGTTGCACAGCTCCTAATTTTTGTATAAATTTATGCGTCCTTCCCTCCGACAAAAAGAAAAAAAGAAAAAAATTACCAAGAGTTTGAAGGCAGGACTTGCAATCACGTTTGCCATTCTTAAAACTGTGAAAAGCGTACACAGCTTTTTAGGGCTATTGTTAAAAACTAAAAAGTCATAAAACATCTCCTCCCGAAGTCCAAATGTATGAAGTCTTTGTATTTCCGAAAGGAACATATTCCATACTTTGAGGGGTGTGGGAATTTAATGAAGCAATTCAAGGGCTTTTAGGACAAAGACAGCTCAAGAATTGCGAAATAGCTCTACCTCCTGAATTTCTGTGGTACTCCTCTTGGTCGTTTCTAAAGTTATTAATATCTTTTATTTGAAAGGCTGTACAAGAACCCATTCATTCTGCGTTAAAAAAAAATAATTCACAGTGCAATGCTCAGCATTCTTTATTTCTAACTGCTATATTTTTGTTTTTTTCTTCGCGTTTCGTGTTTGTGTTTAATTTTCTTTATCTTTATTAGCGAAACTTGAGGTACTCTATGGTCGGTGACAGGTCAAGAAGGAAGTGGAACCTTCCCCCACCTCTTCCCACTGCAGCAGAGTGAACGCTGGAGGGGAGGCGACCTCCTCTCCAGCGTTCGCTCTGCTAAAGTGGAGAAAGGTGGGAGGAGCTTCCACTTCCTTCTTGACCTGTCACCGACTATAGGTGGCTCGCAAGATTATATATATGCTTAGCCTTGCGAGCCACCCCGAGTACCTCATGTTTCGCTAATAAAGATTGTGAATATTATTTTTTTTTCTTCATAAAAACGTTGCTTTTAAAACTAAACCGCGCGTAGTAGTAATGTCTGCAGGTAGGCAAGACGAAGTGCAATTTACTTTTTAAATGGCGCTTCCAAAAGGATATACCTGTCATCCTTAAATTTTATGAGCAAGGATATCCGGCTTAAAAACGTTTAAAAGAGAATTGTGACTATTTTCCTTGTAAAGCGGACAGGTATACACAAATAAAGAGTGCAGGTTCGTCGACGACGTTAGTCGTATTTTGCACTTACTCAATAACACAAGTGAGCATTTCTTATTGGGTATTTCATTTCTTAAAGTATAGACGCTTGCACTGTTTACAAAAATAACAGTCCCCACGAGCTAAATCACAGTCCAACCAGCGTTCGCTCGCAATTGCGGCCAGCCAGAAAGTGCGCGTGTATAACACAGCAATGAACGGGCGCTCATACGCTTTTATGGTGCACTGTCGGCGAGTTGTTTTGGTGGCGCCCTCCTACGGTTCCCTCTCCTGACGTCACTACTTTACGAACAACAAGTTCGGTAATATTTGGAATGAGCATGGTGGAAGCATGAAATCATTGCACTCTGAAACGAGCAACGCCAACATCGTCAAAATCGAAGTTCTTACATTACTCTTATTTCCGTCAATGAGAGCCTTTGCTGACTATGACAGTCAGCAATCGGCCAATCCTGACAGGCCGACCACTGCGATGCTTTCCATCGCTCCTGCCCCCTCCCCCTCCCCCAAAACTCCGTTTTGGGGGAGGGGGGGGGGGGGGGCGGCGGAAGATTTGTAAGGATACTATTCTCCCGTTCTTTCTTGTGCACCGGCGGGTCCACCCATGTCAAATTGCCCTCCGAGAAGGGGGCAGGGGGGGGGGGAGGGTCGACTTCGGGGGGGGGGGGGGGGGCGGCCGCCCCCGTCGCGCCCCCCCTTCATGGATCCGCCACTGAATGCACGTAGTTCCATCTAAAAACATCTTGATGCCAGAAGTCAGAACTTCACTCTGTCCACCCTCTTGTGCAAGTATGCACATAAAGATGCTGGCAGCAGGCGTTCACCTGCAACATACCTGTTGTTCTCGGCAGACGATAAGTTGCTTTACCCACATCTCGTGCTGATGACGACTGCTTGGCGAGTCCCGTGCATATTTTTATCGTTCGTCGGCCAAGGAGTTTGCGGCATTATCCGATAAGACCGCCGAAGCATTAATCGCAGTGCAAGAAGCATCACTCTAAAAAAAGTCTGTGCGTCTACTTTCACGCACAACACTCGGAGAGCCAATTAGCGCAACTTACGGAGGCAGCTCAGCGAATTACGATGCAGAAACGTATGTTTAGACCCAAAAAAAAAACGCAGTCTCAGTTGTGACATTAAGCAATGCAAAACGTCACGCTTGCATTGCTTAATGTCACAGCTCGGTCTGCGTTTTTTGGTCTAAACATATGTTTCTGCATTGTCATTCGCTGAGCTGCCTCCGTAAGTTGCGCTGATTGGTTCTCCAAGTGTTGTGCGTGAAAGTAAACGCACATACTTTTTTAGAGCGATGAACATAATACGGACCGCAAGTTCGTCTGCTTCTTGCACAGGGGTTGCGGTGATGTCAGAAAGCCGGGCTCTTATTGGCTGATTGAAAACAAAATAGTGGGTAGACCTCAAGGCATCCAGCATTGCAGTCTACCCACTATCCTTTCAATCAAAGCCCATCAGAGCTCGGCGTCGTTCTGACGTCACCGCAACTCCTGCGCAAGAAGCAGACGACTTGCTCTCCGCATAGGCCACGCCCTACGTTTCTTGAGCTCTCAGCGTAACTACGCAAACCAGCAGAACTAGCAGACTTGTACACGTTACAAAAAGAAAAAAGTAGGGAATTACATTTACATTTACACAAATCTAAATTGTAACTAATTACAGTTACAATTAACCTTTTACAAAAGTAAGTAACCGTTACCACAGAAAGTAATCTGTTACTTTCGCGGCGTTACTTTTTACCTTACTGTCCCAAGGCAACACGCAAAACACACGAGTGTTGTTGCTGCCATCAGTCACACTTTTGTGACCTTGAGCAACAGCTGGCTCTGGAAAGTCTCGGCGGAAGTCTTGCCTCGTTTCTAAGTGAAGATGTCCGCCACGCTGAGCACCCCTTCAATTGAGGCAGTCACGGATTCCTGGCGCACTTCATTGCGTGCTTCTTGAGAAAATGGCACAGCTCTCTGCCCCGGTGAAAGCTCAAAGCTTCGTTGTTACAGCCGGAGTTCGACGCTGTTAGAATCGCAAAGCTATAAAAATTGTAATGCAGATAATGAAACCTTGAGTAGAATCAAAGTATGTGAATATATTATTTAAGCATATTTTAGCCGGAAAATATCACCAAATGGTGGTATAGAAAAATAGCGAGACACGGTAATTACACCTAACAATTAAATTATAGGTTATGTTTGTATATCAATCTTCCAGTAGCTCTGAACAAATGTCGTGCCTTGTTACGTCGGTAAATAAGAGGATGGAGCTTTTTGGATATATAACCAGCGAAAACATGAGGGGATCCATCCGGAAGCAAAAATATAAAGTTGATTAAAACAGAAATGTGGACGCACGTATGCCGTGCCTACTGTTTCTTAACGCCGTCCATGCGAGATCCGGCCAACTCGTCGAAAGCCAACTGGTTGACGGCCAACTCGTCGACGGTCAATTCGTCGAATAGGCCAGTTTGTAATAGGGCAATTTGTCGAAAGGCAAATAGTCGAAAGGGGCTATCTGTCGAAGGGCGATTCGTCGAATGGGTTGAATGACGGTCCGAGGTAAAATTTCGTGGTTTCGTACCTTTTGACCAAAACTTTTATATTCGTCTGAACTTAGCGCAGCGCACTCGTTAAATTACGAAACCGGAAAAAAGAAAATCTCAAGAGGGGGAAGATCTTGAGTCAAGTTGAAAAATGTGTCATCTCGGGATTGTCCTTTTGCTAATTTTCTTTCTTACTTTTTTGCAACGAGCCGCCGCAGACTGTCGCGGCGAAGCGGCGTGAACGGGTGGGCCGGTTAGGTTAACACGCGCCCCAGTGATACACGCGCGACGTAGTGACCGTCCCCCACTGCACCGTGAAAGCGGCGAAAGTGGCAAGTTTTTATCTTCGACAAGAAAGAGCACACGGGAGGTCAGTTACCGCGCGGCGATTTTACGAATTACTATAGCGCAGTATTTGCTTTAAAATTTCAGGGAAAATAAATATATTTTGGCTTTTTAAAAGTGGCTACCAGCTGGCCTTTCTGACGAGTTTTCCTTCGACGAATTGCCCTATGTGACGAATCAGCATATCCGACGAATGGGCCGCTGACGAGTTGGCCTATACCCGTTAACGCATGTAGCACGTAGCCTGCAGCACGCATGTAGATTATGTGAGAAGCAGCACAAACTCAAATAAACATTTGTATCTCCCAAAAGATGATAAGTGTTTTAATATCTTTTGAGCAGCATGCCAGTTAATGTCACATCCTTTTTAGTCGATTTCTGTGTTGAGCTTTATTCAGCGGAAAACGGAGCGTCCCGATCCCGTTGTGAGATTATGCAAACTGTTGTAGTCACTATAACCGAGGAGTTCATTGTTAATTGTCAATTTGTCACCAGCTTTTGGAACGCGCGTAGTCGACGATCGTTTTGTGTCCTCTCCGAGTTTTCAAAAACAAAAAAAGTGAAAAGCAAAAAAAAAAAAAAAAAAAGCGCGCGCAGATTTGCTACA